CACGGATGCACAGAAGATTTGCAAGATGAACTTTGACGACAAGAACCATATAGCACGACACAGTGAAACAAATTTCCTTGCAGGAGATGCAGCTATTGATTCAATGTAGTTCTCTCACTTCAAGTCAATTTAAAACGTGTGGCCAAAAAGTCACAGTAAGGCTCTCTCCTGGAGTCTAGCAATCAGCCACGATTATTGTGGGCAAGAATGTTTCTCTATGAGATAAGTTGAGATTTAGAGGAATTAAAATTTGCAAGATATTTCCTGACTCAGCTAACGACTGATTGGGTGGGGGTCCTTTTCAAGAGCAGAGGTCAGGTTAACTTTTTTAGCTCTAACGGATTTTCTATTGAGACAGGAGTAAATGGTAGTGTCTTAAAAAAAGAACCCCCCTCAATCAGTGGTTAGCTGTGTCAGGAAATATCTGGCAAATTTTAATTCCACCAAATCTAAACTGCTCTCATTGAACCACAATAATCGTGGCTGACTGCTAGACTCCAGGAGAGCGTCTCACTGTGACTTTTTGGCCACCCCTATTTCGCTTGACTTGAAATGGAAGAACTACATTGAATCAATCCACTACCTTGCTGTAATGAAATCATCTATGCCGGCTTTCACACAAGAGGAGACATCAGACGCGCATTTTTGAACAGGGTGATTAAAAATTTCTTTCCATTAGACGTCACGAAGGAAAGCACGGAACGAGTCCCAATCTGATATTCTGTTGGTATGGGGTTCTTGATTGGTGGGTGAACGGACGGAGATGTTTAGAAACACCATCGTATTAAGGGACGAGCCTCGTGAAACGGATTGGCTCTTACAGCGTGTCTCACTGGCGATGGTTCTGTGACACTATTTAGGTTTGCGTGAAAAAAAAAAAAGAAAAAAAGGCGAGAATTAAATTAAGAGATAAGAATCTATCACGAAAAGACGATGTTATTTTTTTCTAACAAGGAAAAGTGATAAAGATTTTATTTTCATTAGAGAAGAAAGTAAGGTCGCGGATCTGTCGCGTTTGAATTATGACGGCGCACCGAATGGTGAAAATTTCATGTCGGTCAGGTGGCCTACGGGGCAGAATTCTAAGAGATAGAAATTAATTGGGTCGCGGGAAAAATGTCCGCTGGACAACCCGCAGAGTTAAGAAGAAAGAAAGACTAGCCCATTAGCTATCTGCGGAGATGGCGTTTGGAAAAGGCACCTGTTTTATGTCAAGAGCTGGCCATGATAGCAAAATTATTTTATCAGAAGGAATAATTGGCTGTGGATATCGCCAGATGACCACCCACTTGTTTGACGAAGTTTTCGATTGATAAAGTCCAGGTGACATTCGGTTAAGATAAGAGTCTAAGGATTTGTTGTCGAGAAGAAGAAAAAGAAAAAAAAAGAAAAAGGAAGATAATTTTTTTTTCTTTGAGCAAGATTTTTAAAACCGAGGCTAGTTCGGCCACACCCACGCCGCTGAGCACTCACTGGTTGAATGGTGGCGTGAGCGGTAGGCGAAGGTAATCATATGAAGAAGGAGGGGAGGCCTGTTGACGCTCCCTGAAGGGATCGGTATGAGATGCCACTGTGAGAGAGACGGGAAACCCGTTGACACCCTCTGAGGGTATGGGTGCGATACCAATATGAGAAAGGAAGAATTTGGGGGGACGAAAGACTTCCAAAAATGGAAATTAATAATTCTTCCTGACCAAGAACAAAGAAAACGGATTTAGAATTATCAAGGAACCTCAAACCCCGACAGGCCCCGATTTTGGTCGGCGTCCATATAAGCAGAGTCGCAACAAGTAGAAAGCAGTTGAGTTCCCAGTTCGCAGTTGAATTGAATTGAGTTGGAGCTGATTTGCAGAGTGAGACCCGCCTCGCAGGAAGCTGACTGAAAGATATCCACGCATTCACGACCCCAACTTCTAACCAAGAACAATTTATTTTTGAAGAGCGACTTAGACTCACACCACCAAAATAAGTTTTACGAATATCGCCTGAAGATACACCAAAAATAAGTTTTACGAATATCGCCTGAAGATACACCAGGAACCAGTTTCTTAAAGAACAAACGACTTAAGATGTTAAGACTCGCCTAACAAACTCAAAGTGTCACGAGTCCATATAGTGGTTTGGGAGAAAGACGGGAGATGACAGCGTGTTTAAGCCACTTGCTCTAGTGGTCATTAAAGTCAGTGAACATAACTATATTTGCATACGGGTGTAGAGAGATGTCCTTGTCTATATTATCGGGAATAATATCATGCATGCAACAGTCTTGAGAAAAAAAAGAACGGTAGAGAAAGAAGAACTAGCTGACTGAGTTTAATAGCGAGAGACGGAGACACGTGTACGCATGTCTGAAGTTTCAAGAGAAGTTCCCCGAGCCAGCGGGAGATATTTCACGGGCAGAAATGCTAAGGCCATGCATATCAATATTAGAGTTCTTTCCAAGGAGAGAAAGGTAGCTAGAAATCAAGAAATCGTTAGAGGGCTTTGAAGAGTTAAGATTAGTTGGGCATACAGCTAGAATATCCGGAGACTTTTCAAAGTGGAACGATTCCATGCCACAGAAATTGGTACGAATACCACGAATTTTGGAGAAAGAAAGATTAACATGTTTAGGTGTTTTTGTTGAACTGCTTTAGGTTTTCATGTTTGGTTGTTTATACTCATAATGTGTTATATTGATAAAGCAAATGCCTAATGTAATAGTAGCCGTCGGCTACCTAATTTAACATGTGCATGAAAGAAAAAGGCGTAGAGTGCACCATAGAGTGGCCTTGGTTCCATGCAGGACGTGTCACTGCAAGAAAGCAGATGTTATGCAGTCTTTGATAAAAGTAGTCTCAAGATGTTACGTAAGAGTTCGGGCTCCTAACTACCATTCGAGAACAGCAAATTCGTTGGATTTTTCAAGATGGACCGTTTCTCTATTTCGTAATACTCCATGGCCCGTTTCACCAGACATTCCACCACCTACCAAACTCCTCGACATAAACACTACCCCTCCTACCAAGAATGAGATCACCAAGGCCATCAAGTCTTTTAAGCCAGATAAAGCAGCGGGTTATTATGGTATATCACCTGAAACACAGAAGACAGACATCCAGACCTCAAGTGAAATGCAGCTCAAGATCTGGCAGCAAGAAAGAGTGCTTGGAGAGTAGAAGAAAGGCTACCTTGTGAAACTACTGAAAAAGGAGTCCTGTCATCTTGCAGCAACTGGACAGGCATTATGCTACTGTCCATCCCAAGAAACGTACCGACAAAAATCATCCTAGAGAGACTGAAGACCACATTGGACAAGAGACTTCGCGAAGAACGGGTAGACTTTCGGCAAGACAGATTCTGCAGAGACCATATCGCCAAAATGCCTGGAATGTCAGACCTCCTCCGTCGATTTTTGAGAGTTTCAACAGAGACGTTATCTGGAGACTGATGCAGTACTAGGGCTTTCCACTAAAGTTCGTCACATCACCCAACAATTGTATGAAGATGCCAACTGTCAAGTCATCCAACACGGGAATCTGACGGAACCATTATCCGCGCAAACTGGCGTTCATCAGGGATGCCTGCCATCTTAGAGGAACTTTCTGCTGGTGGTCGACTGGATAATGCGGCAGACCACGACAGGCTGGAGAACTGGTTTACGGTGGACCTTCATGAAGCTGCTGGAAGATATGAACTTCGCAGACGACATCAACATGTGTAGAACAAACGAAGACTAGCCTTCAAATCAACATCGGAAGACGGACGTCCTGAGGGTAAACAACAGACCCAGTGCCACTACACCAAGGCATCAAGAATGTCGATAACTTTGTCTACCTGGAAAGCGTCACCAGTAAAGATGGTGGGAGATGAAGACATCAAGTGCCGAATCAACAAAGCCGGGCACCCTTTCAATACTCTGCGGCCAATCTGGACCTCAGCAATCCTCTCAATTTAAACAGGATCTTGATCTGCAACACCAACATAAAGTCGTCCTACTTTGCGGCTCAAAAACCTGGCGGGTAATCAAGACCAACACCCACAAACATCAGGTATTTAACAACCGATGCTTCAGGAACATCCTCAATATCAGGTGGCCGGAAGTCGTCTCCGACTGCTATCTAAACTAAATTCAAAACCCCCATACCAAGGCAGTCAGTCTAGGGCTGAGGAAGGCTAGCATAAGTCAGTGATGATCTGAAATAAGTTATAACCACATGAGGTAATTTTGTATTTTTTGCTGTATAACATATATATATATATATATATATATATATTTAATCTTTTTTACTTTTGTTTTCTTCTTACTTTATTTTATACTTCTCTCTCTCTCTCTCTCTCTCTCTCTCTATATATATATATATATATATATATATATATATATATATATATCTTTTACCCTTCTCATTTTTCCTGTGTCTCCCCCGCTTTTGGCCTTCGTCATCAATCAATGCTTTTTCTGGTAACCCAGACAGACTCTAGGGCTTACGCTTTTTATATCTAGATGGCCGATATTATGATGTTAGCAACAGACACGCTTCAAGATATTTCGCTAAGAACTTTCTCCATTTCATCTTTCTTTCTTTTACAGTAGCCATTAATCTTTGATTTTTCTTTCTTCCTTGTTTTCTCCTTTATTTGCTACATAATTATATTCTCGTCTTTTATTTGTTTGTCTCTACTTTTAATTTTTTTTTTAATTCTTTCATCATTTCTTTTTATTCTTGATTTTAATTCCGTACATTTATTTTCCTTAGTCTTTTTTTTTTCTGTCAGTTCGTTTATTTTTTTTTCTTTCTTTTTCACTATTTTACAATTTTCGGAAAAAATTTTTTTTTATTTTTTTTTATATCTTTCGCCCTTCATTATTTTAATATTTCTCTTTCTCCATTTCTTCTCTTACTTGTCTTTCTTTTTCATTATTTTTATTTTTTTTATTTCATACTTTTTTTCTTCTTCGTTTATTGGTAAAACTAAAGATAAAAATATAATTATTTTATGTTATTTCTTTGTTTTATATTATGATATTTCTTTCTCTTTTTTTCTTTCTTTACCTTTCTTTCTTTTCTTTTCCTTTCTTTTTCTTCTTTCCTTTTCCTTTCTTTCTCTTTCTTTCTCTTCTTTTCTTTTCCTTTCTTTCTCTTCTTTTCTTTTCCTTTCTTTCTCTTCCCTTCTTTCTTTCTCTTCTTTTCTTTTCCTTTCTTTTCCTTTCTTTCTCTTTCTTTACCTTCCTTTTCTATTCTTTTCCTTTCTTTCTCTTCCTTTCTTTTCTTTCTCTTCTTTTCTTTTCCTTTCTTTCTCTTCTTTACTTTTCCTTTCTTTCTCTTTCTTTCTTTTCCTTTCTTTCTCTTTCTTTACTTTTCCTTTCTTTCTCTTTCTTTCTTTTCCTTTCTTTCTCTTTCTTTACTTTTCCTTTCTTTTCCTTTCTTTCTCTTCATTTCTTTTCCTTTCTTTCTCTTTCTTTCTTTTCCTTTCTTTCTCTTCTTTTCTTTTCCTTTCTTTTCCTTTCTTTCTCTTTCTTTACCTTTCTTTTCTATTCTTTTCCTTTCTTTCTCTTCTTTTCTTTTCTTTCTCTTCTTTTATTTTCCTTTCTTTCTCTTCTTTATTTTTCCTTTCTTTCTCTTCTTTACTTTTCCTTTCTTTCTCTTTCTTTCTTTTCCTTTCTTTCTCTTTCTTTACCTTTCTTTTCTATTCTTTTCCTTTCTTTCTCTTCTTTTCTTTTCTTTCTCTTCTTTTCTTTTCCTTTCTTTCTCTTTCTTACTTTTCCTTTCTTTCTCTTTCTTTCTTTTCCTTCCTTTCTCTTTCTTTACCTTTCTTTTCTATTCTTTTCCTTTCTTTCTCTTCTTTTCTTTTCTTTCTCTTCTTTTATTTTCCTTTCTTTCTCTTCTTTATTTTTCCTTTCTTTCTCTTCTTTACTTTTCCTTTCTTTCTCTTTCTTTCTTTTCCTTTCTTTCTCTTTCTTTAACTTTCTTTTCTATTCTTTTCCTTTCTTTCTCTTCTTTCCTTTTCTTTCTCTTCTTTTCTTTTCCTTTCTTTCTCTTCTTTATTTTTCCTTTCTTTCTCTTCTTTTCTTTTCCTTTCTTTCTCTTCTTTACTTTTCCTTTCTTTCTCTTCTTTTCTTTTCCTTTCTTTCTCTTCCCTTCTTTCTTTCTCTTCTTTTCTTTTCCTTTCTTTTCCTTTCTTTCTCTTTCTTTACCTTTCTTTTCTATTCTTTTCCTTTCTTTCTCTTCTTTTCCTTTCTTTCTCTTCTTTTCTTTTCCTTTCTTTCTCTTCCCTTCTTTCTTTCTCTTCTTTTCTTTTCCTTTCTTTTCCTTTCTTTCTCTTTCTTTCTCTTCCTTTCTTTCTTTACCTTTCTTTTCTATTCTTTTCCTTTCTTTCTCTTCTTTTCTTTTCTTTCTCTTCTTTTCTTTTCCTTTCTTTCTCTTCTTTACCTTTCCTTTCTTTCTCTTTCTTTCTTTTCCTTTCTTTCTCTTTCTTTCTTTTACTTTTTCTCTTCTTTACTTTTCTTTACTTTTCCTTTCTTTTTTTCTATTCTTTTCCTTTGTTTCTCTTTCTTTCTTTTCCTTTCTTTTTCTTTCTTTTCCTTTCTTCTACTTCTTTTCTTTTCTTTCCCTTTATTTCTTTTACTTTATTTCACTTCTTTTCTTTTTCTTTTTTCTCTTTCTTTTACTTTCTTTCTCGTCTTTTTTCCTTTCTTTCTCTTTCTTTCTTTTACTTTCTTTCTCTTCTTTTATTTTCCTTTCTTTCGCTTTCTTTTACTTTCTTTCTCTTTCTTCTCTGCCATTAGTTTTAATTATCCCTTTTTTTCTTTCTGATGCAATCTTTTTATAAATTCTTTCTTTCTTTTACTCCATGACATTTTTCTCCTACTGCCATTCTTACCCGGGCTGTGATTAAATGCATGATGGGAAACAGAGTAAACATTGGCAGGTGATTGTTGACGACCGTCGGGCAAGAGATTGGTTCGTTCAAAAACAATTTCTTTTGCGACGAATATCCTGATAAGAAGAGAAGACGGAAGGAATCACTAAAAGACTCAAAATAGAATTGTTATGACAAACATCGCATGGACGCTCCAATCAAACACCGCTCCGTAACTACGATTTAAAATTACTTCTCGACAATGACATCTATCGTAATAACATAAACATTGCTAGAAGACCTTATAGTAATTCAGAGGATTTACCACAAAGCCAGCTTCGTCACAGCAAAGATTGATAAAACACGTCTTTGTGAGGAAAGTGGTGAGACTGTAAACCACATTCTAAGTTAGACAATTGGTAAAAGAAAGAGAGAAATGACAGACTAGAAACATTTATTCGTTGTTTGAATTAATTATAGAGCTAAGCATCTTGTAAGTAAATAGTCTTTTGATTCCCCCAATACAAGGGAAAAGCCACTCAAGGTAGAGGTTAACTAGATAAAGTTTTTATAAGGGTATAAATTTATGACAAAGAAGGGTACATTAGCAGAATAGATAACTGTTAATTCAAAAAAGGAATAGGTTAAGATTGTAGTAACCTGGGAAGCACCCTCTCGGTAGTCTCATCTCCAATGATACGGTTTTAGAGAAGAAGACTTCTAAATGAAATCAAGGATTGTTATTCGATCTATGCCATGGAATTTGCAAGAGACAGGCAACCTTTCGTCTTTTGACAAGGAGTTTCAGGGCAGAAAATTCAACACTCACATTGTTGCGCATAGCCTTATGAACATTTTTGAGACTAGTAAGTGAGGATTTGTCATCTCAAGCCTCGATGTTACCGCCATTCTCCAGTTTGAGGCTCATCTGGATATTGAGCGGAGTACATGATTTTTTCCAACTATTCCAGGGAAGGATTGTGTATATGAGTTCCATTTGAAGTCTGGAGTGAGCTTGAACCCAAAAGACGTTTAGAGTAACAAGTATAAATAAAAGTTCAACAGTTAAGCATGATTGGAGAAAACTCAAGGTTTCATATTTGATGATGAAACTTTACCAGTTCGTATTTTGATTTATTGAATATTACATACCAGCTGCAATCAGATCCGCTTTCAGATTGGGTCAATATAGATTTTTGTTGGTGTTACGATAAACCGTATTTGTTGTTTCCCCTTATCGCACATACAAAATACAACGGAATAGAAATGGCTAATTGTATTTTATATTGACAATGAATTTATTGGCGGTTTTTTTATATACCATAGACAGCACTTTTTTTTTATTATTTACATTATTCAGACTGCTCTCGTCATCTTTATTGCCATATTCACAAGCTTTAGGCCCTTGTACGCTCCGGTTTTCTTCAGGTGATTCGACTTTCGAAAAAAGCCCTTTAATATGTCGAGCGGGCTAGATTGTTCTAGTTCCACGTGCCGTACTTCTCCTGAATATCTTAGTTATTTCCCTTTAACGTAACTCTCCAAGGTTTTGGTTCACCACTGCTGTGGCCTGGTATCCACTGGGTCATGTGTCATCAACGACACATGGCCCACTGGATAAAGACTTTGGTTATATACAGTGACTAGACCCCCAAAAATTGGGAGTTCAGTACCAGGCCACGTTGTTAATATCGCAATGAAGACCAGGATAACACTCCGTAATGTAATGTAAATAATGCAAGTAATCATAATACCTCATCTCAGAGATACAGTCACCTGAAGAAGGCCGGAGCGTACAACGGTCGAAACGTTGTCAATACGGCAATGAAGATTAGGATAACACTCCGAATAATGTAAATAATGCATATAATCATAATATTTCATCTCAGAGATATAAACAAGCATTTTTTTACTACAACATATACGAATGTAAAATCATACACTATGGTAGTTTGTATATATCATGTAGTTTGACATTTTCCCAATATGTAACCTTATTGACTCGCTCTTCAATGGCTTGAATTTCCGCAACTGTAATTTCACCTACTAGGCCTTTTACCATTAATCGGTAAAGAAACGCCAATAATTTTGTAATTAGATTTTTCTGAATATTGGAAAAAAGAAACCTACATTGCAAATGTCGTTTAATCGTTAAAAATGAAAAGGCATTTGATGCAGTGTTCGACAGTTTTTACTCACGAAGTAAAAGAACTTAGGAAAATTGTTGAAAGGTTATTGTGATTATATACGAACAGAGAACTGCATAATAACACACAGACATAGACACAATCCAGTTTTGAAGAGGAGGAGAAGGAAGAGAAGTTGATGCGAAGATACGTAGTTTGACTAAATTATTTACAACATAGTAAGTTTCGACTGGAAAGGTAATTGTTAAAAAGGAAGAAAGAAAGCGAAAAAGATAGATATCGGTAGATAAAAAGAAAATCTTAAATAGGCACATAGCGAGAGAAAGAAAAAAACATGAAAGAAGGAAAAAACTGATATAGTTACGTGTATAGAAAAATAGATAGACAACATGGAAACCAAAAAGAAGATAAACAGATAGAAAACAAAGGATAGATAAAGAAAAAGAAAAATAGACTAAAATTACGTAGATAGATAAGTAGATACCGAAAAAGAAAAAACTGATAGATAGATAGATAGATAGATATTAACAAAATGAAAGAGATAGGTAGATAGATAGATAGATAGATATGAACAAACTGAAAAGATAGATAGATAGATATGAACAAACAGAAAAGATAGATCGATAAATAGATAGATAGATAGATAGATAGATAGATAGATAGATAGATATGAACAAACTGAAAAGATAGATAGATAGATAGATAGATAGATATGAACAAAATGAAAAGATAGATAGATAGATATGAACAAACAGAAAAGATAGATCGATAAATAGATAGATAGATAGATAGATAGATATGAACAAACTGAAAAGATAGATAGATAGATAGATAGATAGATAGATAGATAGATATGAACAAACTGAAAAGATAGATAGATAGATAGATAGATAGATATGAACAAACTGAAAAGATAGATAGATAGATATGAACAAACTGAAAAGATAGATCGATAAATAGATAGATAGATAGATAGATATGAACAAACTGAAAAGATAGATAGATAGATATGAACAAGCTGAAAAGATAGATAGATAGATAGATAGATAGATAGATAGATAGATATGGACTGAGACAGATTGATGATGAGTATAAAAGCTATTTCATAATAAAACCAGAAGGCTGCCATCTTCACTTGGTATCAATTTGATCGAATGTAAGCCGTTTTTATTATTTTTTAATCACCAAACGAAAATATCAAAATTCCCGATTGAGTGAACGAAAACTTGGATGGAATCATGAATAACAACTTGTGAAATGTAAACTGCTTTACTTAAGACGTATTTTGCTGGATTTACAAGATTATTGCAAATGGGAAAATAGACCGGAGGTATTTTTTTAGAATATCGCTATGCTCGTTTCTGAATTTGCAGTGTCACAATCTAAATGATTTTCTTCTATTATGGCTTATTTATTCATCCGAATGCTTTTTGAAAACACGCGCACACACACACACACACACACACACACACACACACATATATATATATATATATATATATATATATATATAAGGATATTAAAAAAACATGTTGAAAATCGGTCTATATTTCTGAGAGGCGGTATTATGTAGACTATTTACATTATTCAGACTATTGTCCTCATCTTTGTAGCCATATTTATTACAACGTTTCGACCTTTCAGTATCTGTCTATATTTCTGAGATGCAGTATTATGTACACTATTTACATTATTCGGACTATTGTCCTCATATTTGTCGCCATATTTATTACAACGTTTTGGCCTTTCAGTATCTGTCTATATTTCTGAGAAGCGGTATTATGTACACTATTTACATTATTCGGATTATTTTCCTCATCTTTGTCGCCATATTTATTACAACGTTTCTGAATTTTACGCACCGGCTTTCTTCTTGGAATGTCGAACTGAACCCTTTATTTCGCTCACTGGGTTAGACTGTTCTCCTCAAGGACACATGGCACAGTGAATAAATGCGTTAGTTAGATCCAGTGGCAGGACTAAAAGAGTGTAAGTTCAATACCCGTTTAAGACAGTGGAGAACTTTGAGAGGGAAATTAACAGGAGATAACTGACAAACGACACCCATTAAACATGGCACGTGGAACTATAACAGTCTACACCAGTGAATGAAACAAAGGGTTCTGTTCGAAATTCCAACCTCATGAAGGAGGCCAAAGCGTACAACGGCAAAAACCTTGTAATAAATATGGCGACAAAGATGAGGACAATAGTCCAAGAAATGTAAATAATGTTAAAAATCACCACGCAATTAAATTATATTTCAACACTGCGAATATGTCTCTTCGGACGCTGGTAAGCTACTGTTGAAGAATTCTGCTTTTTGAAATTAAAATAATCGTTCAGTCGCCAGTAGTTTATCATCATCCGAACAGACCAATTTGCAGTGTTGAAACATAATAGTGTAGCGATTTTTAACATGCTTTCGTTTTAATATCTTAAAATAAATAATATTTAGATCTATTTCGTATTTAGCCGTCTTTTAAATATTACGGACAGTGGAATTATACTCTATTTGTTCTCATTTTTCCTGGATATATATATATATAATTGTACACGTCGAGAAAAACCTTAGGTGTTTTGGTTTGTAGATGAACGAACCGATGCCCAAAGAAAAAATGATAAAAAAAGAAATAACTAAGAACATGTAATTCAGACGAAAACAATCGTCCTGAATCCAAGCTCAGAGTCCAAAGAAAAAAAAACTCCAACACGAGTAAAGCAAATGTAACTAAAGTAAAGTGGAGCAAATATAGCTTTATTTATATATATATATATATATATATATATATATATATATATATATA